CTCATTTTCATTTTATAAAATCGAGTTCTGAAATTCTGTGATGAACTGAAGTTTAACCATGAGAGCTCAATTCCTTAAATGTTTTCAAATTCTTAGTCGTCTTTGTGTCGGGTCAATTGGGTTGTGGTTGTAAGGTAACCTTTTCCTACTTTTTCAAGTCAAAACCAAAACTGTCGCCTTAGAAAAATAATAAAGTAAGAATTTGATATCGTGTGAATTGCGTTCAATTGGATTGTGAGTTTAAAATGGAAAAAGAAAAGTACAAGTCAATTTTGATTATTGGATCTAAATAAATTTTCGACATTAGATATTTGAAATTGGAACAAAAAAGTACAACTCAGTTCTTGAAGTTTTTTTTGCTTATGTACTCTTGTTGAACCTTGATAAAGATGTTTTTTTAATAATAAAGTTAGTTTTATTTTTTTTTCTTTTGAAAAAAAAGAAAAGAAAAATAGGCGGGCTTGGCCTGCTGAACCCACGGCCCGAGGCGAGAGCGATGGCCTACTTTTCTCAGGTCCGCCAGGATGGCGGGTCAACCCGCTCCGAGTCAGCCCATTTTGACAACTCTAAATACATATGAGTACGTGATTGGAAATTATTAGAACCCTTTTAGGTGTAACACATAAAATTTCATCCGACAAACAGCCATTACTCAATTGACAATACACCTCACGTACGACTAGAGATGTTAAATGCTCTTTGGCCCAACGGGCCGGCCCGTTTAGCCCAGGAAAAAACAGGGTTAAGGCCTTTTATTAGCAGCTCGTTTAAATTCGGGCTTTTTAGGCCCGGACCGTTTAGCCCGAAGTTCGCTAGGGCTAGCCCGAAAACCGCTAGGGCTAGCCCGTTTAACTAGGGTTTGGATGGTGTATATGTTTTTAGAAAGGTAAGGAATATGTCTCATGATTCCTTGTATATTACAATTTTGTTATTCTACTTACATATAATTATGAGTTATAATGTATAATTATTATTTTGATAGATAATTATTAACAAATTTTATTCTATTTCGCAGCAAAATATTTAAGCCAATCGGCTAATAAAAAACAAATGAGACAAAGACCTAACACATAAAATATAGTGATAGAATATAAATTCAACAGTATGCTATATTGTGAAATTTCCCGAAACGTACCAAATAACTAGTCAAATGGTAGTTATAAGTAATAGTTCGAATATTTTTTTTTTTCTATTGAGAAACAATATGTTGTTTAACAGTTTGTAATGTGTATTCGTATATGAAGTGTATTTGTATATATATAGTGGTAAATAAATAGCCGTTGAAAAAAACCGTTAACTAGGTGTTGTAATTTTTATTATTATTATTATAGCCCGTATAGCCCGTTTAACCCGAAGTCCGCTTGGTTTAGGATTAGGTCCTTTAATTGGTAGCCAGTTTAAATCCGAGTTTTTTTAAGTCCGAACCGTTTAATTCGAAGTCCATCAGGACTAGCCCGAAACCGCTAGGGCTGGTCCATTTAACATCTTTACGTACGACCTCAAGATAAGACAGCACCCCGATTTCAATAATTGTATATTGTAGCCAACGACTCTCATGACTCATCACATACTAATGCATTGATTACTTTTGAAGCAATGATTAGTGATACCCCAAAAGATAATGTTAATTAACCATTAGTGAACAGAAATTCTAAAACGATAAAAAATTTATATAACAAACACACAAATGTGTAAAAATACAACTTTAAAAAAGTCCAAAGCTGAATAAAACAGGAGAACAGGTCTGACGACCGCCTAGAAGCCCGACACTAACAAACGCTAGAAACCAAAACAAGACACTCGAGACAACAACACAACAAACACAAAGAAAAACTACAACGAAAAGTCGATTTAATGGAATTTTTTGATTTAATAATGAATAAAGTTGATTGAGTGGATTAATTTTAATAATATTAAAATGCAATAATTAAAGTTCATGTGATTTAAAAATATAAGAGGGATTATTGAGAATGATAAACCGTTAATTGTGTGGGTGAATGAATAGTGAATTAAAGTTAATTTGATGTGTGATGATGATTATTAATATTATTTTATTATATTAATAATATTAAGGAGAGTTGAGTTTGATTCATTTGAGTTGAATTTTGAGGAAAAAAGAAGTGTAAAAACATTCTCCAATCAATAAAATTCGATTAATTTTGCAGCTAATCACCCCTTGAATATCATGAAAAAGCTCATAATCGGTTACAAATGTATATTGGCCCTATTGGGTATTTGTAAATTTGTAGCTGCAAGTTGAAAACTTTTGTATTCTGTATAATTACGAATATTTTTCATCATGGGATACTTATAGTATTTTCAAATGTTTAAATGAAAATAAAAATTACCAAAACTGTACATTATTGACTTAATATAAAGGAAATAACTGAATAAATATTTTGAGGGTACTGTACATGTTAACTACACTTGTCTATTCATCACAAATATATCTAATTTTTTGGGAAACTATATGATATGACTTTTGAAAAAATGAGGAGAGAACTCCACTACTTAAAATTTTGACATTTAGGTGAATTTGGATTTAATCACGACCTTTCAATTTTTATAAAATTTATCATCATCTTACTTTTTGGCAAATTGGTAGCAATTTGGAAAACCTGTCACTGAAAGACTAAGATCCGTGGCAGAGAACAGTGCAACAGACAATGACTCAGAGACGGATGACGGCGGCGGCTCGGTGATCAGGTGCGGACTTGTGCTTGTGGCTTACCAACGGGCACCAAACGTCGGTCTGTGCAGCACGACGTACGACACGGGACACAAGCCTCGACTTGTTCAATAATTTAAGATAAGATCAAACGAGATGATTCTAGACTCTCGTTTGATCATCATCCTCGACAAGAGGCAACGGTTGCAGCCAAGTAAGGATTCCGACGAGAAGCTAAGTGGTACAACCAAACATATTTGGGTGGTACACGACTCTCGGACTGGGGTATGAATTAAATTTAAAATTTGATGGATGTGGGAAGAAGGACTAGGCTTAGTAGAAGAAATTTTTATTTTCGCTATTTAATTAATTAATGGTTGGGAAAGAAACAACAGTCATTTTTGTTCTTACGTGAATAAAAAATCAGTCAGTCTTTACTGCTTTATTATTATTATTATTATTATTATTATTATTATTATTATTATTATTATTATTATTATTATTATATGTTTTTAGTTGGTTATATTTTTGTTTGTTTGATATTTTGTTTTTCTTCCTTGAAGAACATTACTTGGAGAGATTTACAGACGAAGAATATGCTTCGAGATTTATACTAGCAATCGTCACATCTCCAATGATGTTTTGTAAGTTCTTTCTAGTTTGTTTTTATTCTTACGTGCTTCATATAATTTCATTCAAGTATGGGGGGAGATGTGATATTTTGATTTGAGAATTTTAGAGAGAAGATGACACAATATCTTGTATTATCTTGCATATCATTTAATTTCATGTAAGGTTTTATCGCTTTAGTACGTTCATTGCTTTCTTAGGATTTGAGTAGTTGTAGTTGATCGACTTTGATCCACCTTGATGAGTTTACTGTGCATATTTAATATAGAATTAGGGCTTAATGTGCTAAGTGATGAAATTTGAGAATTGATTGAATTGTGAATTTGAATGATTGGTAGATGCATTTATTTCATGAGTATATGATCCTTTGGAGCTTTTGAGCCTTATTATTTTTGAGTATCGTTCATTGTTTTTTGAATTCCAGAACTTGCATTGGTATCTTTATCGAGACCACATGGTGTGTGCTTTTTGTGAAAATGATCTCAGGCATATTTTTGTTTGAACCTTTTTTACCATTTTAGCTTACCAGATGATATTTTCATTCCCTAGTTAACCCTTTTGAGCTTTGCCTATTTTCTCTGAATGCCACATATTGAGCTATATCTTTATTTTCTTCTTGGCCTTGCTTGAGCATTTAGAATTATATCATATGAAGATGATGAGTTATTTTTTGTGGTGTGGATAAAGGGAAGACGTGAATGGGAGTGTAATTTGATTGTGAAAGTTGAATGAGGTTGATAGAGTCGAAAAAAAATATACGAGAAAAATAGGCCAAACTTATAAGTCTAGTGGGCTACTCCTCCTTCCACTAATTAGTTTTGGGATGGAACCTCACGTGGGCTTCATCTGGGCTCATTCTGTTATGCTGCGCTTCATCTGCGTTGGACCGCACCCATTTTACCCCCAAATTCTTACATGGCATCAGAGCTGGCATACGTGGGTTCTGGCGATGACTTACCCGTATACCTGTGTACAATATGAATGTCAAATCAAAGATGTTAAAATATAATTATTTATGTGTTTTTATTTCATGAATTATTTATGTATTTCTATTTCATGAATAAAGTAGAAAAATCATAGTTTTTTTGACTCGGACAACCTCGGCGGGTCGACCTGGGTCCCGGTCGACCCAGAGCTGAAACCATTTCTGGTGGGCTATTTGGACCCGGTCAACTCGGCCGACCCGGGGCATTGACCGGGTTGATCCGTCCATATATATTTTTTTTTTATTTTTTTTTCATTTTTTTGGTTTTTAAAAATAAAACTATGTATATATTTTTATATGGTAAATATTTATTATGAGATACATATTTTTAACATTTTAATGTACAAATTTTATACACAAAATATTTAATTTTGTTACTTGTATGTATATTTATATGACAAAAATACGCTATATATAATTTATAAATATTTTAAAATTAATTATACAGTTCAGCAATTAACCCAGTGACCCGACGGTTAAATTGGTGACTCGATGACCTGAGGACCTACTCGGATCGATCATCTGTCCGAGTTTAAAAACTATGAGAAAAATAAAAAATTGTTGCGAAGACAAAGTAATAAGGGTTGATACTTGATAGCGATCGGTGATGGCCGATCCACCACGTATTTGTATTTGGTGTGGTTCAGTTTTCTTATCAATTTATCCTTTTATAATTATAATCTAATAAAAACTTAAAAATGATACTGAAAGTAAAAAACTCCAATCATCAATTTGGGCGGCTATATTTTAACAAATATAAAATTGAAATGAATATAATTATAATTCATAATCCAACCAATAAACCCTTACTAGCCAACAATAAATATCCCCATCTCTCAGTGCCCCCACTCACTCCATCTCTCTTTCTCCTCCCCACCACTAAAATCGTCCCCATTAATTCTTGCTTAATCTCCACGATTTATTAAATGGTGAAGGACGTTGAGGGGACGGCGGAGTACTCGGCCAAGGACTATCACGATCCGCCGCCGGCGCCGCTGTTGGATTTGGATGAACTGAGTAAGTGGTCCTTTTACAGAGCGCTGATTGCGGAGTTCATCGCCACACTCCTCTTCCTCTACGTCACTGTCCTGACGGTCATAGGGTACAATCACCAGACGAACGCCGGCGACCTGTGTGGCGGCGTCGGAATTCTCGGAATCGCGTGGGCCTTCGGCGGCATGATTTTCATCCTCGTTTACTGCACCGCCGGTATTTCCGGTGAGTTTTCCTTTTTCCCAACATATATAATTCGTCTACTATATGTATTTGGAGTAGTAATTAATTGGGTTTGTTAGATAATTAAACACATATATATTTGGGTATATATTTAAATAATTATAGCTAATAATATGTTGCTGTTAAACAAAACAAGTTCGAGAATATTAATTTATAATGCTCGAACGGGAAAGCAAAACAAGTTGTTTGTGAGTTAAGCTCAACATTAATTACAGTTCGAGAAGAAATTTTTACGTAATAATATGAATTTTTATTTTAACTCAATTCATTTAGACTCCAAATATATCGACTTTAAGATCATTTAGTTTTAGTTACCGAGACGAGTTGATTCAAACTTGAGTTTTCAAAAGTTTGAGTTAGGCTCGATGTATGCCAAAACATAAATATAATCAAGACAAAGGGTAGAAACTATCAAATGACTAAAATAGGTAATAGATTAACTAATTTTATATGCAAGAGAAAGTCATATGACATGAAAACGTAGCACAAGGGAAAAAAGTAAGTAAAGTAATTACTGTAATAAAAAATTCATGTTCGATGATGATGTGGCTGTCCATATCAACAACCCCACTAGAAAGTTGATCAAGACTAGTAGACTCTTAAAAGGAATTAATTATATAAAAATGCTCAAATCAATATTGTTATAACCATAATACAATTTCACTAAAAACTAATTTTCGATTTCAACATATTAGTTATTACTATGCATACTAGAAGAGAAAAAAAAAATAAAAAAATTAGAACCTTGCGTTCAAAAAGTCAAAATAAGAAAGATATTCTGAAATTTGCTAGTAAAATCAATTGCCGAAAATTTTAATAGTTAAATTACCCACCGTACTTTTTGCTACCACTGTTTTCATAGCCATTTCTTTTTTTTAAAAAAAAAAAAAAAATTAACCCGTATTTTGCTAAATAATATCAATTCATAGGTGGGCACATAAACCCGGCGGTGACGTTTGGGATCTTGTTGGGCCGAAAAGTGTCGTTGATAAGGGCAGTGCTGTATATGGTGGCCCAGTGCTTGGGCGCAATCTGTGGCGTGGGCTTTGTGAAGGCCTTCCAAAAGACGTATTACAACACTTACGGTGGTGGGGCCAACGTTCTGGCCCACGGCTATAACAAAGGCGTGGGCTTGGGCGCTGAGATTATCGGTACCTTTGTGTTGGTTTACACCGTTTTTTCCGCAACTGACCCAAAGAGGAGTGCAAGAGACTCCCATGTCCCTGTAAGTAATATTATATTATAATATAAATTAATGCTCATTTTTCCATGTTTACAGTAGTTAAAGTAAAACAATAATATAATAAATTTATATTATTTAAAATAAAATAAATTTATTTATATTGTTTCATTTTTGGAAGTCTGATTAAAAGATGAAAAATTTAAATAAGTAGAGCAGGTGACCTAAACTATGTGCCATTTTCCAACATTTAATGTATTGCGTGGTATGTATGTAGGGGATAGCGATGCTTTGAAAACGGGGACTTTTTCGTGGCCACTAATTTATTCAACTCTCGTAATTCAATAATCAAACACCTAAAAAGTTGACCCTCCTAGTTTTAGTTAATGGAACACTTGGCCCATTGATTTTTAAAGGCAATATCGAAGTGACAATCGTCATTTTTTTTACTAAGCCTGACTTAATATTCGATCTTATCTTAAGTTTATATATAAAATTTCTTACTCATAGACTCTGTATGTTAATTAAGCTAAAGGTTGAAGAGATTATTATATTTTGTTTATATTCGTACGTATTTTCCTCTCGTGTATGTCAGTTTTAAGTTTCACGGCTTTAATCAAATAACAGAACTTGGAAACTGTAGAGTTTTTTATTAAGACATTTATCAGTTCATTTAATTTTTGTAGATAGGTACATAAAATTGTCTTGCAACCTGAAAAATAAATACAGAAGGGAGTTTGATATGACTAAATCTTTTTATAATTTCCAGAATGCACTTGAAAGTTCTCGAGAATTTTTACAGCGAGGATTATAATTTTGTCTTAATATGAGCAATAATTGAAGTTTGGAAATAGCTAGCTTAACGAAAAGTTAAAGTGGCCAATTTAAACCGTCATCATGAAGAGTTGTATGACCAAATTTGTGAAACAAATACATGTTTTCTTCATCATTATTGATGATGTCTTCAAATGCTATAATCTCTCAAATTCATTCACATAATTTTTTCCTTTAATAAATGACGTTCAAATGCTATAATATCTCAAATGTATTCACATATATTTTTTTCTTTTCAATAAATGATGGTCAATATTGAACTTGCAATTTTTCATTGGTTCAAATTATAGTAATTAAATAATAGTAAAGTAATGAAATCTTATAATAATAATAATAATAATAAAATGAAGGTGTTGGCCCCACTTCCGATTGGGTTCGCGGTGTTCATGGTCCACCTGGCGACAATCCCAATCACCGGCACCGGAATAAACCCTGCCCGGAGTTTCGGGGCCGCCGTGATATACAACGAGGACAAGGCCTGGGACGACCACTGGATTTTCTGGGTTGGTCCTTTCGTCGGAGCCGCCATAGCCGCCTTCTACCACCAGTACATCCTCAGGGCCGCCGCCATTAAAGCCCTTGGCTCCTTCAGAAGCACTGCCTGAGATAAATTAGCAATTTCAGATATTGATTTCCACTGTTATCTCTGTTTCCTCTTCTCTTGTTTGTATTTCCATCCAATTTGTTGCTTTTGTCCTTCCTTTATTTTTCGCTTTTTCCTTTTCTAAATAAATATCACTGTATCTTTTTTTTTTTCTTTTCTTTTTGTGAGTGTATATATCTGTTATTGTAATGGAAATGTTGTGTGTCATCTGTTTTGTATTCGTAATATGGTGAGGCTTGATTTATCATAGCGGAGCGGCGTCAATTTAATCGTTTAATACTAAACAACCAAATATTAAATTATAAAATTTAGTAAACACTTTTGCTCTATAATTGTTAGAACTTCGCCGGATAAAAAACACCCGATTGGCGGCGAGATCAACGGTTAAGACACAAAAAAGACTTAGGCGAACACAAAAGAACACGGCCTTATTTGGTGGTGTTGAATTGACAACAATTCTTGTGCTATTCTATTGCATAAATAAAAGATTATAAATAACATAATTAAGACCTATAAATCAAGATTACAAGAAAACTATAATCATATCAATATGACAATCACACAACTTATCTAGAGAAGAAAATAAGGAAAACAAATAAACTAATTGAGGTGCACAAGGATTATATATTATAAAAGAATATTTCCTACAAACTCCTCCTAAGTCTTGTGCACATTGCTGACATTGATCAGACCGATCTTAGAGCGCAGTTAATGGAACTTGGTCCTCCCAACCAACTTCGTTAAAATGTTGCGCAGTTCTTGTTTGCTCCTGATTAACTTGACATCTAATCTAGTCTTCCTCTGCAGACTCCTGATCAAAATGATATTTCACTTGAATGTTCTTGCTTTGTCCAAGGAGTACTGGGTTCTTGATTAAGACAAATGACATGCTTGTTGTCTAACCTCAGCATTGTCGCTCTTGGTGCTGATCCATGCACCTTAAACAGCACTCGAGCGAGCCAGAATACTTGACTAGCAACATTTGCAGTTGTTGTATATGTATTCTACGATTGACTGTGTCATTGCTACGCTAAAAAATTACTTCAGATAACACTTTTTTTTCGCTACAGATAATGCTTTTAAGCGTTATCGGAATCAGTGTTATCTGAAAACCGATCTCTTCAGATAACCGTTATAAAGTGTTATATGAATAATCTTTCATATAATGCTTTTTTATATTAAGCGTTATGTGAAAAACCTTTCACATAACACATTTTTATATTAACCGTTATGGGAATAACCTTTCACATAACATTTTTGTGTTAAACATTATCATAATATTGATTAGATAACATTTTTTAACAGAAGTGCTATCTGAGATGATGATAATACATATCACTTTTTTAAACAAGAGTTACCCATGTGTATTTTTTTTATGTATTTTGTGTGTGTACTCATTAACCTCTGTACCAGTAAACAAGAACCAAGTGACTTTAATCATAAACCCCATAAACCAAGAAGCAAGAACCAACAAGAAAACAACTCAAAAATGAATATAACAAAAACTTACTAACACAATCCACCAATTTTAACATTGTGCTTGTGTATGAACAAGAAAATAATGTAGCACAAAATCATGAGAGAATCGTATCTNGACAAGCATGACAAAATACATACTTGTTAAGTACGAAAATAATGCACATGTATCTGCTAGAATTACAAACTGAAAAGAAACGACTCAAGCATTATCTAAAAATTCGATTTTGCAATATATTATAAATTTAACACAACAATAACAACAAACGAATCGACATTAGTAGAGTTTTTATCTTACACTACTCTAAAATAGAGGCTATGTTTGTGCGCCTTCTCCAGTAAATAGTTTCGATGTCTCATTAAATTCTCCAAACAGATTGTCAGTTTTCGTGTTTTTCCACCAACTATCAGTGTTCCATTGTTTCTACTTTGAAATATAACGGAAAAAAAGAAAATATGATTACCACAAGGACCTCTACAGTACTCATGTGGAGGGTGCTTGTTGTGAAAAAGGTGCCCCTAATGCGTCTTTCGCGTTTTCGCTAACAAGTCCGGGAATATGAACATAAAAGCCAACATGTTCTAGTGCTAAAGTAGGAAAGGCGGAAACATCGTTAATATTCAACTCCAAATATAACATTATGATAATATATTATCAGCAAAAGCACGAAATCTTATTGCCCAGAATCAAATTTCAATCTCTTCTATGAGTAAATAATATAAGTACATCACAAGTTAAAGAAAGACACGTCCTCATGACAGCATTACTACCGTAGTGAATCAGAACCCGAGTACAAAACGACATTTCCTCTACCCGAGTCAGCAACAATTGGACTAAAAAGAAACAAATTTTCAAATCTAATATGCCCCTTGTCAAAATATATTACCAACTTTCATCATATATTGGTTTATAATGAATAGCTTGAAATTTTGAGGGATTAACAGAATTTCTCTTAAAGTGTAAAAGCAGATGTACATTCAAACAACTGCGGAAGCTTGTTCATACAAAACATGAACCTTCAGAAGAGCATCCCGCTCTTCCTCGGAACTCTTTCATTCATATAGATGTTTGGCCTATTACACTTAGGAATTATGCAGAAGACCCCCTTCTAAACCTACCATGTAATCACATATACAACTACTTTTTCGACTAAAAATCCCTTGTGGATATTTCAACATAAATCCCTTATGTTCTTCTAAGTGTTCATCCCGAACACTTACTCAATATTTAGTAAAAGATAATGCTCATGAAGATCAGGAACAGGCTCTTGTCTTCTCTCTCAATAAAAATAAATGAATTTTTGAAAGCACGATCAAAGCACACACCTCTCACTGTCCTCTCTATCAATATGTGATCTCAATAGAATCGAACTCCTTTACACTTGAGAGAAGGTGTGTTATATAGCACTACCAAAATGGTAAGTCTCCTCCTTTTTGTCTTCTCCAAAATTAGTCGTGTCCTCAATCTCAAGTCAACTCGAACATGGTAAGTTCTTCACACGTCTTGTAGCTGCTCAATTATGATAAGTGGATTTCCATGTATACACGTTTATCTTGCATGGTGATTCCTTTCTTCCATGATCGGCTGCTCAACCCCTCCTTGATTTCCATGATTCTCTACAACCAAATAAATAAATTATGAATATATAATATCAAGGAATAAATAATAAATAGAAAAGTACACTTCCCTTTTGTTTACTCTCAGTCCAGTATGTCATGTAAGTTCCAAGTTTAGTTTGGAGTTTGTTGATTTAATGCCACACCGAATATATTTTTACAATCTCCCCATTTTGCATATAAATAAAAAAAAACTCCTGGGAATGTACCTGCAAAAGACAAGTAGAATCACCAACTGCAAGTACAAATAACTAACCTACACAATTTAATGAGGTTGTTCAGGTGAACAACTCTAATAAGCAATCCTGAAAGAAAGCACAAATATAATAACTGGAATTAACAACGAGAAAATCACAAAACAAAAGCAATATCATGAGTTCAACCCATCACACATCATACGCAAAAACTAAAAGAGGTGTCCATCACCTAAACTCAACCAACAGGGGCAACTAGGAAGAAAAAACATAGATAGTTTTTAACACAACCACAAAAACAACTTGTTGATATCACAAATCGTATCAACACAAAAATATCATCCGAAATTTTGTATGAAAAAAATGGAGAAATCAAGATTTTTTTATGGATGTGTATTCTTTTGGATCTTTTAGAGATGAAAATCCTCTCTCTCCCTATGTCTCCCCCCTTCTACAATAATGGGGACTTCATTTTTTTTTATATCCCCCCCTCATGGCCACTTGGTCATATAATAATATAATAGTATAAGAGCATTTAATGTAATGTGACCGTGTGGGGTCTAGTTATGATGCCCGACAGCTTCGATTGATGCCTGTCTTGTCGGTAACGTACGTATTCTAAATACGGCTTCTTTACGGTATCTGGGTGGGCCAATCACTTTAAATTATGCTCAGCACAGGAATGGACGATCTTGACATTTGAAGACTCGGTCGATATTGGACGGCAACTCGGAGAACCTACTATTTGTATATTTATTTATTACACATTTTAGCCCTTATTTATTTTACCATGTGTCACTCTTTAATTATTCGTGGCCAAATTGGGTATCAAGAAGAGGTCCCCGAGTTTTAGACATGTTCTGAACAGAACTGTTCTGGAGTCACGTTTATTTACAATTTGGCAGATTCTTCGCCTGTAATCTTTTGAGCTTCAAGTTCTTTACGTTGTGATAAATAACTTTTGTGTGATATATAAGATCAATTTTTTATCTTATCGGAGTTTACCGCATTGATACATGCTGATATGTAATTTCTGGGTGCTTTGGGACCCTTGGACGTTTTGTTGATCATTTTTTAGGTTTTGACCTGGTGTTTTTATATTAGTCATGGCTTTCTGCTCTTTGACGAGTTGAGTCAGTAGAATGGATAGACAATTCTTTGGAATCACTATTGAATGGGGCCTAAGTGGTCTAGTCAGATAATTTGGTACCCATTTTTGCATTTTGTGCAATGCGAAGTGTTTGATTGATTTGTTTTTTGCGATGATGGTAATGGTATGGATTTCTGTGGGCACTCGGGCCCATTGGATTTTTAGCGGTCTATACGAAGATGTTTGTTGATATTATTTGTTTTGGCAATTCTATGTTAACCGTATTCACAGTTTTTTTGTCATATTGGGGTTACTCAAAAAATGATTTATGTGATTGTTTTAGTATTTTATGTGGACCTGGTTGAATAGTTTGGTATATGGTCTTTAGTCTTATTCTTATTTAGTTATTGTTTGGTCGGGTGGCGTGGTGCCCGATCTTTGACATGATGCTCATTAAGCGAGTTGAATTTTGGAAAGCACCCAAAAATTACATATCAACTCGTATCCATTCGGTAAACTTCGATAAGATAAAGAAGTGATATTATATATCACACAAACTTTATTTATCACAACGTAAATAACTCGAAGCTCAAGAGATTACATGTGAAGAATCTGCCAAAGTGTAAATAATGCGACTTCAGAACAGTTCTGTTAAGAACATGTCCTTAACTCGGGGACCTCTTGTTGATACCCAATTTGGCCACGAATAATAAAAGAGTGACACGTGGTAAAATAAATAAGGGCTAAAATGTGTAATAAATAAATATTCAAATGGTAGGTTACCCGAGTTGCCGTCTAGTATCGACCGAGTCTACAAATGTCAACATCGTCCCTTCCTGTGCCGAGTAGAATTTAAAGTTATTGGCCCACCCGGATATCGTAAAGAATCCATATTTAGAAGACATACGTTACCGACAAGACGGGCGTCAATAGAAGCCGTCGGGCATCATAACTGGGGCCTACACGGTCACATTACATTAAATACTCTTGCACTATTATATTATTATATGACCAAGTGGCCATGAAGGGGGGATATAAAAAAAAATGAAGTCCACATTATTGTAGAAAGGGGGAGACATAGGGAGAGAGAGAATTTTCATCTCTAAAAGATCCACAAGAATACACATCCCTAAAAAAATCTTGATTTCTCCATTTTTCATACAAAATTTCGGATGATATTTTTGTGTTGATACAATTTTTGATATCAACACAACTGGTAGCAAGCAGACTCCGAGTCTACACAGACTCTTCTTCCTCTGAACCATCTGAACATTCACCAGATCCTTCTTGATCATCCTCAACAATAGACTCTAAACTTTCTTCTTAACCACCTTCCTGGTCATCCTCTTCATCCTTAGCTCCAAGTTCCACAGCAACTTCTTTAACTTTCCTTTTTCCCTTATCAAGAGCAACAACCTTTTTTTCTTTAACTACTTTCTTCTTCAGATCACCCACTTTGGCTTTCTCTCCCTTTTTCGATTTATGTGTCGAAGGGGCCTTTGCCTTCAGTGCACCTAAGATCTCTTTGTTGTACCTGTGCTTATCTGCCATTCTTTTCTCAAAGCCAGCAAACACTGCAGCCTACTGCGCTATGAAGGTACTGAGCGCAGAAGGCACATTAGATGCCTTCACTAGAGACGGGAATCGAGGCACTACTTTCTTTGTAGAAAGGGCAAACGGCCTTACAAAAGGAGTTAGTTCATCTCTAACCCTTGGATCGACTTTGATACCAACCTTCATCGGAATTGAATAAATAATCGAGGGAAATTGAAGGAGCTTACGGGGTTTCGAGATATCTGCAAACGAAACAACATTGTCAAATATCAATGAACCGGGTTCAAAAGGAATTCCACTCAATATGCGAAAGATCACATGAGCTTGTGTTGGAGTGACACGTTGTTTATGAGATGTGGGCATCCAATTCATAGAGACTATATTTTGCAAGGCGTTTGCCCGATCAGTTAGACTCTTAACAAACATATAGGGTGAGATCCACTTGTTAAGTTGTCCACCCGTCAAGGAATACGCATCCTCATCAAGATTATCAATAAGAGGGGACAAGGAGGAACCTTCACCAAGACAAAGACACAGATTTATCACGGAGGGCAAAAAGTCCATGATACAGTTACGAACAAACACCTTCTGAAACATCATAAATTCAGGATCTTACACTGATGGGGACAGGTTAGAGTAAAACTCAACAACTAAACGAGGGCATAACTTACCAATATAAACAACAGACTTGCAAGACCAATTGGTTTCTAAAGATCAAATAGACCGAGCTTTTCGAAATGAAAAGGAATGATGATACGCTCAGAACGAAACAACATTTGTGAAAAGATTTGAACATAGCGAGATTCGGAGGAGGTAGAATAGAACTGACAAGAGTAGGCATTACCAACATCAAATGGCCTGTCATCATCATCACCTACCTCATCAACTTTTGACCATGGTTATGCAGCTTGTGACAGGGCATCCTTACCATCATGAGTACACACAAGTGAACTTGGGTTTATCACAGAATCTTCGGCAGCCACAAACTCATCAATCTCCTTCTCCAAAGCATCGTCACAGTCTTTGGAGTCCAATAATGACTCACCATCAGATTTTGGAGTAGATTCAGAGACACAGGAACAGTAGTAGAAGTAGCACTTTTCTTGCACTTCTTAGACCTTTCCCCCTCAGTTCGAGAGGATTTGGTGTTTTTGGACATTTTCGGTGACTTTGCAGCAACAAGAGACTTCGTAATGGCCGCATCTTTCTCGCCGACCACCACCTTTGAGTTGGAGGACTTTGTGGGACTTGGAGAAACTCGGGTCTCCACTGGTTCGGTCGACTGTGTATTGTCAACTGCCATGTCTGAGGTGGTTGTGGTTGAAGGAGTCTCTGAACTGGCACCTTTACGAGTTGAATGCCGAGCTGGCTCTGTGGCATTCTTCTTTTATTTTTCACGACAAGTTTCCTAATGCGAGGCATGGTGAGAGATTTAAACAATTGATTTTTTATTTCAAATGGAAAGTTGAGAAAACTAGGGTTTGATGGGAGGAGATTGAATTAATCTAGGAGTTGAAATAATGAGGAGAGCTTAGGAAAATTCACCTTGAATTGACTAAAGATAGGACAGTTCAACTTTTCTCAAGTTTGAATTTCTAACTTGTAAGTTACACCAAGTAGCAAATCCGTTCCCTCCAAATATTCACATCCCATGTACAAGACACAACTTACCAAATATTCTGAAAGAAGCTTCAAATAAATTATTATGCACGATCTATTAACAAAAATAATTTAGCACATAGAAGAACATTTCGATCAGTTAGGAAAATCACATGCAATTTATGCCTAAAAAAATCACATACACGGGAAAAAATATATTATATAACACGCAGCACAAAGTTACCATATTCTAGTACCTCAGGGAACAATATCAGTTCAAAAATTCAACATATTCTTTCTAAACCATCTTCATGACCATAACACTATTAGAGGGACAATGAACTTCCACCAATTTGTACAACACCTTATATCAACAACTTTTATAGAACACATAATTAATGTGGCACGTTCAACTCAGTAATAAATCGTAATTATTCAACGAGAATCAACCCCATTAATTTATGCCACAAAAGGTTCGTACACCATTTTCTCTTGGCTTCTCATTATCTAGTTTCTCAACGTCGGACTTGACCAGCTCGATCGTGAGTGCCTACTTGCACCGGTGCCCTTGTGTAAATTTTTCGTCATAATTGAAACAAAGCCCCTTCTCACGTGCACGTTTCATTTCCTCATAGGTAAGCTTCCTAACTCCTGGAGATGGAGGTCGAGGATTGCTCGTCGGGACCCCACTCACCTCGATTGACAGGAGGCACGGTAGGCACAACTCGACATGGGTCGACGACACGTGGGTCTCCGCTCTCGATCCTTCGAACAATGTTTATATGGTCCTCTTTCATACGAGCATCCTCCATGGCATGCCATATCGACCTCGGTTTCTCTAGTCGGACCTCGGCAGCGAGGTCAGGTTTTAGGTCTCCGACAAACACCCTGACGAGCGCACCCTCCGGCCAGTCGCGTACGCGGCTCGCTAGGCGCTCGAACTCCTTCTGATAGTCACGTAGGCTTCTGGTATGATGTACGTGAGACAAATCCTCTTCGTAGTCGTAATAGTCTGACAACCTGAACCTAGTGATAAGTTCTTGCTTAAAATCGACCCTTCGGATCGCCTCTTCCCATGCGATAAACGCGTGAGATCCACTACCACCACACATTAGTTTCGCTATCAAGCTAATATGTGCCGTAGTTGCCCTGTTTGCCCTGGGAGTTTTGTTGAGGACAAAATATTGTGTCGCCCTGCTCAGCCACATTGGGATCTGCCTCGTCGATGGTGGTCATGACCAATCTGGACTTCTTGACCCGTGGCTTATCTCGGTTGCCCTTGCAACCTGTTATCGATCTCGTCTTCTTCATCCTACGAGTGCGCCGACTCTCTGGTGGTCGATCGGGATCTACCCCGTTCCCGTGGTTGCCGATCTTGTCGATTCAGCTTCTGGTTCATCGCAGGGAACGTCTGCTCGAGTCAGGCCATTCCTTGATTGTGATGGTGTTGTCCTTCATTGATGCGTGATTCACAGAGAAATTGACCTCGCTTAAACCTCTGATCCTATCGTTTAGACTCTCAATCTTTTCATCTATGGCATCGAATCTCTCTCGGTTTGTCATGATGAATATTAATTTTTTTTTCTAAATTGACGAACAAAAAAATCAAAGAAGAAAGAGGGATTCACAATCGATACTCTCAATAAAAGTACCAATGATGAAGATCGTGAACCTGGTGATTTGTTTTGCTTCGGAAGGACGCGTAATAGGCCTTCCCTCGTCGACAATAGGTTGCACAAATGACGCGCATAGGCCTTCTTTTGTACAAGTTGTATGTTAACACTTAAGAAAATCTTAACACACAAGATGGAGATTAAAAGATCAATTTTTATTAAGTTCTGAATTATTCAAAATCAAACTAACAATGCGAGTATTTAAAGCCAAAGCAAAACTAGTCCTAAGGGAATAAGAATCACGAACTAAGGAAAGTAAATAACTACTAGAATCCTAGGATACAGAATTAATTAAAGGCCTAAACAGTCTAAGAATAGTAATAAATAATAAGGGAAATAATAAGAAACATCTAAAAGGAATCCGCCTATTAGCTTCTAGAAGCTCCTTCCATCTTGCGGTCCAAGTCATCTGCATCATCACCTAGTTGACGCGACATCTTCAGGTTGTACACGTTGGCGCCATCGCTAGCACGCATATCTGCGCGCTCCCAATCATCTCCTAACTTGTCGCAGTCTTCCTTGTACCTAGCGTCCTGCGCACTCCCGTCGACTCGCAACCCACACATCTCAGTAGCTTCATGTTTGACCTGCACTCTCTCGTGCTCAATGTCACATGCCTCGACTAATCTAGTTTCTCACTTTTGCGCCTGGTACGTGCGACAATAGGCTTTATTTAGCAGTCTACTTACATTCGCACCAGTGACTTAGGTCGTTAAGACCTTGGGCAAGGGCACTGGAACGCAGAGGCAAAACGTGGGTTGCGCAAAGAGCTCGCAGGTCGCGGGAGAAGCGCGTGGGTCGCGAGATTGAAACGTGGGTCGCGCAGAGACAACGCACGGGCTGTGCGCGCACGGGTGGCGTGAGCGCGGATATGCGCGACTGAGGATGGTGTTGTGCGGCTGAGCGCGGCCGGGCCATGGCTGACATGGCTGAGGTGCGGATGATTCGGCAGGTACAGAATGATGATCTCCGGTCTCCGATGGTCATAATCCTCTATTTTCGTGAAGAACAGACAACCCTGTGTATTACAGAAACTTTACGGGGTACGGATATATAGTTCTCGAAACGATCTTCTACTTTATTACCCAAACACCTTCTCCAAACGATCTTGGTGGATCGAACGAAGCTCTCAAATCTCACAAACTCTTAAGAACTCTCAAAACCGAACGAATCTCATAAGAGGGAGAAACAGTGTGTGTATGATCTCATCTCTTATTTTTGGAGGCTTGAGACTTGGTGTATTTATAGGACTACAGTACAGACCCTAAAGAGGCGTTAAATATGGGCTCTCAAAGCATGATCCTAACTGCGGGCCAAGCCTACTCCACTCAATACTCGAATAATAAACCATTCCACTAGAGAAATATTATTGCACTCCCAATTTAACTCATAATTACAATTAATTCGTTTCCTTATTTATTGCTCGATTTTATATCCCCGTATTTAAGATTTAACGTCGTTGATTCATTTAATTATTGACAATAGAGTTAATAAACTTCTATGTCCGAAGCTAATACCACTCAATTCTTTATCATTATGCTGGAACTCAATCCACCTGCAGGGCTTGACATAACGGTCCTTCTTGAGCTCACTTCGGGGATGTCATCAATCCGGTCTTTCCCGAGATACGGTGACTGTAAACAATATTGACAGCACATCATGCAGTCGACATTACTTACCAAAATATTGAGTCTGTCAATCTAGCATAATAAGTCTCACCTTTGATAAATCAAATAAGTAAGTGGCAACTACATATGCTCCTACATTGTCTTACCGGTTAAGAATACACAACAAATCATAAGGTCTAGATTATTACTTGGTCAGTGTAAAATAATCTTATCCTTTTATGGCCTGTTCAATACATCTGAGATGTACCAGTGTAATTCATTAGTCTAAGATCAGCTAATTCCAAGATTCACACTACAGTCTTTCACGACCAGAGAGTTCAATTCTCGTCTAGATTGTGAACCATCATTTATATTTTACAAAGAACCGATAATATGAGCTTACTGTACCAGACCCGGAACCATATTATCTACAATGTAAAATAAAGAAACAATATTCGCTTGAATAAATTAACTGCAAACAAGTACTTGACTAAAACGTGAATTCTCTTTCAAAATAGTATTGTCAAAAACTGAAACGCGAGCTTTTACAGTATACACCAACATGGTCGGATTTAGGTTACCTTCGTGTAGTCCTCCTACTAGATTCAATTGTGTGCTACTTGACTATTCCTGGTTATTGTCTAGATGTAACTATGTGTGTTTATTATAATTCTATCTTTTCGATACAAANAAAAAAAAAAAAACAAAAAAAGATGAATATTGAATTAAAATTGATGTGATGTGAGGATGATTGATTGTTATTATTTAATTATATTGATAATATTGAGGAGAGTGAGGATGAGATAAATTTGAGTTAGTTTGAGTTAAAAAAAAAATGATTGATTAAAAGTGAATGAATATTTGAATACATAGTTGTATCCAAACAACCCTTATTATCGTAGTATGTGGAAATAATTCTTTTTTTTTTTCGAATTAGATTGATAAGAACATATAATTACACCTAAAAACAACTAGAAATAGCCAAGCAGCCATCCGGCTGAATCTATTGGAGGCCTGCATAAGGGTAGCCTAAATAACTACACTAACACACCCACATTACAAACAAACTATACACTCACACAAGAAGAGAATCAAGCTTCTAAGAAGAAGACTAAAAAACAAAACTAACAAGGCAACTCAAAACAGTAACACTAGTAATACTAGAATAACACTCTCCCACGTCGACAGATAATTCTCTACATTCAACGGCACAACACCCATAGACGACTGCACAAGGGATATAATACCAACCCGTGAACCTGTCTGCTTACTATTCAATT